GTTCACTGAAGGTATGAACTATAGTACAAATAGATGAGCTTAGACTAAGAGCGTAAATGGCATGTGAATCAAATCACCTTGAACACCTTTGTAGTGTCCAGTGCTATTCTCCTGTTACACTTTGCACTGCTGGATGCGTAAGCCTTGATGGCATTTGTAGAAGCATCAAAATCGTAATCTGCAAATATGAATAGGCCACCAGACTCCATACAGTCGTCAAGATGTTCCAACAGTTTCTTTAACAGAAGATCAAACCCCAAGAGGGTGCACCATTATATTGCCTTATGTAGTGAAGTTTAGTAATATGCGATATTTGTTCAAGATGTGGGTAGGAATGAAGGAGTAGTGGTCCATTTCTATGGAGAGAGGAGGGGAACAGTCGCATTCTTCAAGTGATATATGGTTGGTTAATACAACTGAAGAATTATCAAAAATACATTGATCATTATAGTACTTTGAGAGGAGTCTGTACGAGAGTCACTTTCTGTTAGTTGTGGACTCGTTTGATCTGCCTCAGAGTCTTCCATAAGCTTTTTAGTCTTGTAGTTCCTTTTCTGTTCTAACTTTCCTGGTCGTTCTCTTCCTTTCTTCTTCTTTAAAATCTTGGAAGCAATTCTATTGGAAACATACGCGATCCTTTGCCTCTTCTTAAAGATCTTTTTTGATCATCATCACAGTATCTGGATGACCTCTTAACACTTCAGTTACCTTCAGTAGAACCTCTTTGTTGAATCTCTTCACTGCTGACCTGTAACTTTGAGACTTCATCTTCCGTATGATACATCTATTGGCTTTTGAAAATAGCTCTGGTATCTGAATATTGGTGGTATGTAACTGGAGTGCCTCTTTCCATTCTTTTTTCTACCATCTTCGTAGAGAACCTCTTTAGCAAACAGGGACATGGATGGGATAAGGGTTTGGCCGTTGAGGGTCCTTCTCATCTTCACACAAGTAATATGAGGACATTTGAAGACTGTATACGCTTGAAGGTAACAATGGGAACAACTGTAAGTAGACATTACTTACTTTCCCCCCCTCTTTTGAGACGGTGCATCGCTTCTCAGTAATAACGGCTGTTCTGACTCGCAAGTGATGATAAACATAAGCACGAAAGTTGACAAGCGAAGCACGCCTCCTCATCTTCTTCGCATAAACTTTCAACACCTTAAAAAGCTCTTGAAGAGACGAATCACAATCCCACAATACACTGTGCTTGTAATGCTTCACACCTGTTCCAGTTGATTTCCTATCAACAGTCCCACTAGTCTCTTGGCTATTCAGACAAGAAGAAATGATCATATTTGTTGAGCACAACAATGAGCTGTAGTTCGTGAGCATCTCGACATATTCCGGTTCTTGCTCTTCATCAACAGAGTCGCTCACGTCATTGATTTCTTCATGATTTTCAGTCAGCTGCCTCACTGTATTCAAATCAAAGGTCATGAACTCTATGATTTTCATCTTGTCACCCTGCATCAACAGCACTTTGATAATGAGATTGGTTGGGTTCAATAGCCCAAATGCGAACATCTCTGCATTCAAAATCTCACAATGATTGGGTGTCATAATTTCAAACCTTGGAGTCACCGAATTGTAAAACTCAAGACCTCTAGAACAGTCTTTCATACTGATAATGGGATTATAAGTACTGTTGGTTGTCTCCCTCTTATGCCTCTCAAAGAAAACCCACATCATTGCTTCTTGGATTACTGGGAACTTTTTAGGATCAGATTCAAATATCAATTGGAAAAAGCTATATTTCATAGCCTTTCTGTGCAGTTCGGTTGTGTACTTGAAGAGATTTCTCTCGACTATTTTGGAGCATGCGAAGCTCTCAATGGGAACATCACACTGGATTCTCAACATGCCCATGGCTTTCTTGATACCCTTATGCTGATCTGATATGATTTGTAATCCGGGAGTGCTTCCCTCAGTGATAATATCATCCTGCAATTGCATAGATTCTCGCAGCTTTTTCCAATTCAACCCACTGTTCTTCTTGAAGAATGTGTATAGGAAGGTAAACCATTCTAATCCAAACTCTGCCTTCTTTGAAAGCATAATACCAAGAGGAACAAGTCCCTTGAACCCAATCTGGTCAACAATAGTGTATAATGTAAGAAAATCGTCTTTGAATCTCTGAATATTGTTCAAAGACAAATGAGATTGTTGGTACTAAGCTTTCGTTGAACTTGTCATCAATAGAGTTGGAGAAATAGATGCACTTGATTTCATCTTGTGAATGTTATATCAAGTCGAGCACGGGGGAAATCAGCTCTGAGTACTTGACAACAGCTTTCAACAACTTTGTTGATCTGTCTGCGCTGACCTTTAGCTTTTTGTCGCGTACCTATACAGTTCTCATATTAAAGAGAGCTGTCAGATTGTTAAACGTTAACTTTTCACCCTGAGAATCAGCTGCAAGACTATTTTCAGATTGATCACTTATGGCATCTTCTAATTGTTCTATAATGTTGAATTCGACAAAGCGTCTTCTCAAATAACTTCATAGATTCTACATATTGAAAGAAAAGTTGTTTGCAAAACTGGTCATCACCTCGATACACGCTTGGAAATTATGTTTGCATTCGTCGAGATGTTCCTCTAGGATCCTTTTCTCCGCCACTGGTGAAGCTGATATTTTCTTCTTCACACAAGCGAGCATACTGATCATCCAAGGCGATCGTTGTACCAAACGGTTCTGGTCTGGTAGAGACATCATTGTTGACAACGATCTGTGTTCATCCCGCGTATTGGTTGGTTGGTCTATTGATTTGTTTACGTTCCCTCTTAGAGGTTGCCTTGCGTCTGTGTTATTGTTTTGACCATGAGGTTTAGCTGTAGTGTGTGGGTGAAAGGATTTGGTATTATAGACTTGCCAATGATATCTCGCTTGATTTTCACTAAATTAGTAGCGTAAAGAGTTTAGAGAATCTTATGGTTTATTTATTCCAGTTTATATTTTAGTTCAATTTATTCCTTTTCATTTTATTGCATTACCCTTGCATTGTTTTTGCGTTGTTCTTGTTAATTCATGATAAAGCTGTTTGTTCTTCACCAAAATTTACCAGGAGCTTCAGGTATGCACCCTAAACATTGCATTCTTACAAGATTCAACATTCCTGAATTTCCAATCACTCTATTCTAAACAGCTTTGCGAATGCTTTTGCATCGAGATATCGTGCTACATTTCGTGCTGTTCTTCAGGCACCAAAAGCTCGATGGTCACGTTTGAAATGGCTCAACCTTTTTGCCTCGACGTCGGAAAACAGATATTTAATACCTTCTGTAGACAGTGAAGTAAGCACATAACGATATGAAATCACATTTTGTGGAAAATAGGATCTTGGTAGATATATTCCAATTGCGTTTAAGTACTTTTTTGTCGTTGTGGGTTCTCACAAGTTGAGACACAGTACGACCAACATATACAAGCTCGTTACTTTTCACTGATATACAAACCCTGGGTGTTATAAGTAAAATTCAATGAAAGTTTCCAATAACATAGCTCATGATATAACGTCCTGTCTTCAAAGTGAAGGAGAAAGTATTGTCATTTTTCTTGTCTCACTTTCCGCTTGACCTATTCACGATGCAATGAGAAGGAAAGAGCTCAGCTGGGTGAGAGTAACTCGTTGGAATTTCTAGAAATCTACACATCAGCTTGAGCCAAGTAAATCCAATAACCGTTAGTAGTTCTCAAGCGAGCTTTAGCTGCTTGCCTTCTCTGCTTCGATTTGAAACTATGGTACTGTACAATGAAATTAGGTGCGCTTCCTCAACAGATGCCGTAAAACATACTCTTCGTTGTGCGGTTTAAGTGCACACTTCATTAATGTATCGCTAAGATCTGTATATGGAGATACTTGTTTTCAAGGTTCAGTGTGTAGCCATTAAGAAATAGACTTCTATGACATCTATAGGTCATAAGGGCTTGGTTCGTTCAACCAGAAATGAACACAACATTAGTCAAACTGAACCGAACATTTGAAGTCTATCAAAGGTATAGCAAGTCGATTTGACACAGATTACCTTCATAACTGAAGAGCAATATTGATATGTATGGTGGCCCACCGTATAATCGATGTACAAACAGTTGATTGAGCGTGAGCAGTCTGCTTTTATGTTAAGGGCCTCTCAGAGTGTCGATACATCCTAAGCTAGACCTATAAGTCCATTAGACGATTTAAAATGCGGTGATTTTTCAGGCCACCTGGATCATAATGACAGTATAAAATGCAACTTGGGAGCCATTGATGAACACTGTTTATTGGATCTACAATCTCAGAATCTCCTAACTCAGTGATGGTTGTCCCAAAGATACACTTGGAATTGGAATTGATCGTGAGAGTAAAATCTCGCGAAGTCAACTCTTATCAAGAGAAAGCTTTGAAATCCTGTTGATTTACACACCTTTGTGCTCTATTTGACTCATTTCTACTCTGTAATTCCCAGAGCTTCCCTTAGCTACTGGCCCACAGAGTTCATACTCAAGAACAGTGAGAAACTATGCATTTTGGCCATCGAAAGATACTCCGGTAGCTTGTTCTGGAGCGATGTCGCGCCGCGGTCATAAGCCCGCCACCAATGAACACAAGATCCAGAATTCAAACACATATATCCCAGCAATCAGGACGAATATTGCGATAGAAGCTTGACAGTGAAGATCAGAAACTTGTATCTCCAATATGGACCTTTTACTACTGTTGTGTCGTTCTTTTTGGGCACTTAATAAATCGTCGAATTGGCTCTTTTCCGACCTACAAATGGGAAGAGTGTGTCTCTATGAAAATTACAGAAGGGATATATCATGAGCTAGCTCCATCAATACTAGTGACTCGAACACATGAATTGCACCACTATATAGAGCGAGTCACTCTCTATCTATTCATAGAATTTGCTGTTTTGTGTGTTATATCATCATTCAATATTTATATGCATCATGTATGGCCCATATATACGCTCTACAGACACACTCACGCTCTATGCACAGAGAATATTATAGCGCCCCAGCTAGGTTGCGCTCGAGAATTATGTCCGGAGTCTGTACACTTCACATCTGTTTATACACCCACTTCACATGGCATTGTGATTAACCGGCCTTACTAGACACAGTATCACAGTATCACAGTGTCACAGTGTCACAGTGTCACAGTAGTTGCTTACTATGCTAGATAAACTTCCACTAGAAATTGTGACGGACATCATCTTCTACATCGATGCTCCCGACATTGACACCTTGCTGGCGATTCCAGCGTTGGACAAGAGGTTTGGAGACAAGATTCTGTTGATTGAGGAGTTTGAGGAGTGTGATGAGTCTGAGCAGTCTGATGATTCAGTTTACGATTATTCTGACATGAGCTCTTCTGAAGACGGCTCTGAAGATCAGTCAATCAATGCTGTGGAGGAAGCAGATGATGAAGCAGATCTTATGGCTTCCGATGACGAGAGCCTGGGGAGTTGCGATGAGAGCGTGTATAGTGAAATGGAACTTGAAACCGCATACAGTAAATATGGAGAATATTTTACCCACATCACCCAAAGGTACAGATTTGATGACCTGAATGATGACCTCGAATTTCTTAAGAACTTCATCTGTGTGGTTATCATAAGTCAGGACTCCACGAACTTGGAGACGAATTTACGGCTCCCAGAACAGCCTGTTCACAAGAAGTACCATTATACTGCCGTGGACCCATGTGATGTCGAGTTGACTTTAGAGTCGTTTGAATACCAGTGTGCATTCAAGTACGGTAGCCGAAATACATTTGAATTCGATACGGATGATGTCCTGTTCGATTCTTTTCAGTGGAATCCAGTTGTCTTCCGATTTAGCCAATTGGGAACTTTACGCTTCTCGAATACCATTATCGAGCCAATGAGTATTGAAGCTCTGCCACAGCTGTCCAGTCTGGTTTTTGAAGATTGTGAATGTTCACACGCACCATCGAAGTGGCACCTTCCGAACTTGAAAACACTGGAAGTTATTGGGATGTACAAAACGATTGAACCCTTGATTGATTTTGAAACCACTGGAATTAGACGGTTATTGCTGGAAAATATAGTGGATGTGGATAGTTTGTCTGATATCAACAATTCGTCCTTGTTGGAGATTTCTGCATCTTTTGCAACTGAACGTGATCCTACGATAAAACTAGTCAATCTCAACTTCCAATCTGTCCACACATTGATTTTAGAGGCAGACTACATTCTGATTTCTGGACTAGAGCTTCCAAAAGCGAAAGTTTTCAAATTGACAATTTGTCCAGAAGAATATGTCCCTTCCACGTCTTTGGATACTCTACGCTCGATTAAAGCTCCAAAGTTGAAGTATTTATCCATATTTGGTGGTATTTTTGAGACTGTTGAGGATATCGACATTCCAATTTGGGAAGCCTTCACTGAAGTCCCACACAGAGCATCCTCATCACAACGGCGAGTTGGTTGGTACAATGGCCGTCGTATTGCTGGGTCATGGGGTTC